AGAAGGTTCACGGAAGGGGAGAGGTCACAAAGCCGTCGCACGACGCGGTCGAGCCTCCGCCGGGCCCGACAGCGGCAGAGATGGAAGCGGAGTCAGTGGGGCTGACTCCTCTCGCCGACGGCGGGGCCGTGCCCGCAGCGATCACGCCTGGCGAGCAGGGACCAGTCCGTCAGAGAGACTCGTGTCAAACCAGCCGCACGCAGCAAGCACGCCTCCTCGCAAGCCGCAGAGCACCGCCCCCCTCGCCGGCGTGCCAGCGACGAACCCGCCGCCGCTGCCACCGCTGCCAACTCCGCCGCCGCCACCGCAACGGCCGACGGCACTGCCGCCAACACTGCCGCCGTCGCCTCCGTCGCCACCACTGACCTCGCCTCCGCCGCCATCCTCGCCTTCGCCGCAGCCTCCGTCGTCGTCGCCGCTGCCAAGCTCGCCGCCGCCGCCGCCGCCGCTCCGCCCGGTCCAAAAGTCTGGGGTGAGGAGGAAGCCGAGCACGCGACCTGAGACCTCGGCCAAACCTCGGGTCATCTCGGGCAATCTCGGCTGATCTCGGTTCAGGGAGGTTAGCGACCGAGCGGGGAGAGGGGGGTCAGCGCGGCTGCCGCCGGCAGCAGCCGCAGAGCCGCGAGCCAGGCGAGGGCCTGGCAAGTGGCGAGGGAAAGCAACGCCGCCGTCTGGCTGCCGACACCGAGCAACGCGTCGGCGGGCCGGTCTCGCAGCACCGCGGCGAGGTAGGCGGGAGGCAGGGTGAGGAGGAGCTCGAGTGCTGCCATGCCGCACTGCGAGCCCTTCAGCGCCGCGACGAACATCGTGAGCTGGAAGGCGTCCGCCTGACGAGCAACTAGCTCTGATCAGCAGCGGTCGACCATCGGAGCATCACGAGCTGGGAAGGCGAGTGTGCGTCGGCGGCGAGCGAGGCGAGGAGTGAGGCGAGCAGCGCTGCCCGAAGGAGCGGCGTGCACGGCCACGCCAGCGCTACTGCGAGCAGCAGCCAGCTCGGCGACGTCAGGCACGCCCACGCGCTCTTGTCGTACGGAGCATAGTGGTAGAGCAGAGCAGCGCGCGCGGCCCGGAGGCCGTCTCCGACCGCCGCCGCACACGCGCCGGCCGAGCGAGGCAGCTTCGGCGCGCTGCAGCTCGCGCCGAGGCAGTCGCCATGGCACACCTCAAACCCAGTCGCGTCCTCGCGGACCGCTGCAGCCTCCGACAGCACCGGCGACCGGTTGGAGGGCGCGGGCGGCGCGGCGCCCGGATCGAGGATCTCGCGGGTGCTGTTTGCCCACGCCGCGTCCACCACCCTGTGCAGCGCCTCGCGCACGGGTCCAGGCGTGCAGGGATCCGGCAGCAGCTGCGGCTTCACCTGCTCGTCGTACACGGCAGCACGGCAGCACGATGCGACCTGCGACTTGAGCAGGCTGCCAAGCTGTGTCGCGGCCGTCTTGCTGGTTACCTCCGACATCGCACCGCAGCGGACCGCAGTCAGTCCGCAGTGGACCGCAGTCAGTCGGTCGCAGCGGACCGCAGCAGTCCGTCGCAGCGGACCGCAGTCAGTCCGCAGTGGACCGCCCCCCCACAGTCAGTCCGTCGCAGCGGACGCAGTCTCCGCACCGCCGATAGTGCGAGTTTTTTTCGCTTCTCTCCTCTACCTTCCTGCCACCTCGCGGTCGTCCGCCACTTCTCGTCGCTCTCCTGCAGCGTCGCCACCACCACCCCGCTCTCTCCTCACATCGCTCTCCTCGGCCCCGTTTTGTGACGGCGCCGGCGCTATTCCCAGTCGCGGCTTCTCTCGCTCCGGGAGCCGAATTCTTCTGTAACGTCAGCCTTGCGCCGCCCGCTTCTCCTTGTCAACTTCCTGATTTCAGACGATGGCGGTGCGCTCCGAGCTCCCGCCTCCTGCCGCGCTCCCAGCTCCCGCCTCCTGCCGCACACACACGCCCTCCTCTCCCTCCGTCTCTCTCTGACCCGGCGCGGCCGGCGCTCTCCAGGACAGCTCTCGCTCCACAAACAACGGGTCGCCTGCGCTGGTCCACCTGTACGCGCCGGCCAACGATGCCATCCTGAAGAAGGTGAGTCACATGTTCGAGAAGATGGACGCTGATCAGAACAAGAAGATCACGAGAGGGTGCGCAGCGGCCCTGCTCCTTGCGGCCGCGGAGATCGCCCTTGCTGCTCCCGCCAAGCACGACTCACCTCCGCTCCCTCCTCTCGCCTCCGCCTCCCAGTGAGGCGCTCAACCACTTCAAGGCCTTCAACAAGGTCAACACGAACGCCATGTTCAACGAGATTGACCTCAACAACGACTCTGAGATCACCATCGACGAGTGGAAGGGCTTCTGGGAGAACCTGCTGCAGACCGGCATCTACAAGCCAGAGGCGCGCCATCCTCCCCGCCGCCCGCCGCCCGCCGCCCGCCAGCCCGACCGCTGCGGCTGCCCGCAGTCGCCGCCGCCTAATCGCCACCTGCCGCCTCCCTGCCACCTCCCTGCCGCCGCCCATGCTGCCGCCCCTACCCTCCTTTCACCGCCGTCGCCCCTCCGCTCCCTCTCCCCGCAGGAGATCGAGTCCGAGCTCGAGACCCTGCTCCGCGGCGAGGCGTGGGTCGACTGGAACGACAACAGGCACACGTGACGAGAGCTCGGGAGCTGCGCGTCTGCGCGCGCGCGCGCGCGCGCCTTCAGCTCCGCCGTAGGCCGCGTGTCGAATGCATGTGCTCAGAGACATTGGTAGTCAGTCCTGACCCTCCTCCATCGGCATAGGAGAGAGAACCCATCACGCATCAGCAGTCCCCCCCCCCACATTTCTTGTCCTTTCAATTATTATTTATTGGAGTTTTGGTGTTTGATTCCGCATTCAGGTGTTTCCAGAGGTGTTTGTGCGTGCCGCCGTCCCCAGCACACATTTTCCCCACATATATGATCATCACATATACCAGAGAAGCAACGGCGCGGACACACATGACAATTTGTACTCTGGAAAAGCGCGACTCGGGGAAGCCAGCGCGACAGGGCGCGGCGCGCGGGGGCGGCCTTCCGGCGTCTCGGAGTCCCCGAGGGACTTTGGGTGCATGCACCATCGAAGCATCGGATGTTGCATGTGCATATGCATGCATCACCTCCCACCATCCACCAGTCCCGAACCGCGCTCGTACTATGCCCCCTCTGCAAGCGGAGAGTTCACTCGGAGTACCCAGGCCCGACTCCGATGGGCGTCGAGCAGATGAACACCTTGCGGCCCGCTGTTATCATGGGCAGCGCCAGGCAGGTGACGGCAGCGTCGTAGGCGGCTGCCGAGCTGCAGAAGTACCACTCACGGCTCTGATCCGGCACAAACTGCTTCGGAATCCAGATGCACTCCATCCCGAGGTCGCCGGTCGTCAAGCCCATGTTGACCCAAGCCGCTTCGGCCCACAGGATGTCCGCAGGCGCCGCCGACCACTGCACCATCATGGACGGAGCTGACGCGCGCGACGCCCGGAGCCTGCGGCGGGAGAGGGGCGGCGGCGGCGGTGGTGAGGTGGGAGGCGAGTGGATCTGAGTTGTAAGGCGTGGCGAGTGTCGGCGCACGGCTTGACTGGCGACTTCCATGCTGTGACTGTCGCCACGAAGGAGAGCATGACCATTGTTACGGCGTCAACTGGAGGCCGGGAGGGCGAATGAAGGAAAAAAGACTCCGCACCACTTTTCTTTCTTTCTTTTTTCGCCCATCTGTGAGTCTATCAGTAAGCGCGGGTTAGCCGTGGCGCGTGGGTTCCACCGGGTTAAGCCACACTAACCCAGCACGGGTCAGCACGGGGGTTAGAACGGGTTATCATAACCCGACGCTAACCCGGCACTAACCCGACACTAACCCATCCTAACGTATGCCCCCCAGTGCGGGTTAGCGCCGGGTTAGTCTCGGGTTAGTCTCGGGTTAGTCTGGGTTAGGCTTGGGATTGGGGGTGTTACGGCTCGTTCGGTATCGTTCCACCCCCCCCACTCTCGTGCGTTCAGCGTTCACTCACTCGCCCCACACCACAGCCGCGGGCGCATGGCGAGCGGGACAGTCTCATGCCACAGGATCTATAATGTACCGCCCTCAGCGCACTCCTCCTCCCTAAGAAGGGTAGGTAGGTAGGTAGGTAGGTAGGTAGGGGCAGGGGCCGGCCGGGTTTTTGCAGAATTTCAGCATGAGTGCAGCACAAGCAAAAAGAATCACACCTGTTCTTGATCATCATTCCGCGACCATGTCCTCCTCCCTCGAAACCTTTCCCCGCCGTGTGCTGCGCCGCGTCCCCGCGCAGCAGAGGGCGAAGCATGCCATGAAGGCCAGGGAATGCCACACGGCGAGCACCAAGGCGATCCACTTGATGGCGTCGACGTTCGCGTCGAACAAGTTGAGAACCTGATTGGTGCATGCACAGAAGATTCCTGTTGCAGTGTTTAGGTCCGCCAAGGGGTCGAAGCTGTCCCCGGACCCCCGGTCGCCAAGCTTTAGATCCCGAACCGGCGCGGCAAGGCCGGCCGCATCGACGGGCCACCAAGTCTCTCTGCGGCAGCACGCAGCGAATCCCGCGTCGAGCGAAAAGTCATCCGCTTGCAGGCATCGAGAGTTCACAAAATCGGCATAGTTGGCGTAGCCGCTATTTAAACACGAGAGCTCAAACTCGTCGCCCGTTCGTGCGACCGTGCCACTGCACGCGGACCACGACATCTCAACTCCGCTCTTGACGGTGGCGGCGACGCGGAGCTGCAGGCCGGCGAGTTGGATGTTTGGTGCAGCCATCAGCCGGAGCACACTGGCTGTGAAGAAGCAGTAAGCTGTCACACCAAAGGCGAGCACTGCAAGAATGAGGGGAAAGGGAGCAAACAGCATCAGGCACGCGCGGACACAGAAGCTATAGAAGCCGCACGCGGCGATGAGCAAAAGAGCCGCGCCAACCGCCAAGGCATGTAAACATGCGCTCGCAGAGACGGGGTGGCCGGCCGCATCGGAGAAGCCGAGAATGCCGGAGGCTGCAAACCCGGCAGCGAGGAGCAGAAACTGCAGCGCGCTGGTGAAGATGAGAATGCGGGCCAGGAGGGGGCGGCCACCACTGCCTCGCATGCCTTGCCGCGCCCCACCGTTGCTGCTTCCGGTCTGCATCGTGGCACGGAGACGAGGTGTCGGCCTCCTTGAGGGCTTGAAACAGGAACAAAGGGGGCGGGAGACGCGTGGCGGGCGGGTACAGCAGGAAAGGGACGGCCGAAAATTGGGCGCTACCGCGGTTTCTTTTTGTGATAAGAGACTATGGAAAGTTCACGTCATGACGGTTAAAACGGCTGTTAACCGTCATGACGTGGTCAATATGTCATGACAGCGGCTGCGAAACGACAGCAGCAACGACGGCAGCAACGACAGCTGGTGACAGCTGGTGACAGCTGGTGACAGCTGGTGACAGCTGGTGACAGCCAGCTGCCAAGGAGGAGTGAAAGGCACCAGCAACAGTGACAGCCATAGTGACAGTGACAGTGAAGCCAGTGAATGCCAACGACAGGCGGTGACAATGTCAGCGCGGGGCCCCGCGAGTGACAGCGACAGCGACAGCGACAGCGACAGCGACAGTGACAGCGACAGCGAGGCAGCGCCACAGGCACAGCCGTGAGGCAGCCATAGCCCTCGTGAACGAACTTGAGCTTATTCCAGCCATAGTCATCGTCTACGATCCACATGCAGACTGCCGGTGACAGCATGCACCTTGAGAGGTTCAACCCGAGGTGTGTTGCTCAATGCTCTGCGCGTTTGCTTGTGATCGTGATTTCAAGGTCCCAATCCTCGCGGCTGAGGATTGACACCGTTCGCTCGCGTGAGATTTTTGAGCGGCAGATGAACCAGCGCTGGAGCCCATCACGGCACATGCTGGAGGAAGGAGGGCAAGGGTTTTGCAGATTCTCCGACTCACGCCCGCTGCTGCTGACCGTGCGTGGCTACTGTTGAGAGGGTTTCTCATGTGGCGTCGGGCGTGCGAGTGAGCGGTCTCGCGCGCATGCATCTATATCTTGAGTGTCCTGTCTCTCTCGTTAGTGGCACCACACACTGTCCTGCGGGGGTGCTCATGACAGCAGCAATGACAGCAGCAATGACAGCAGCAATGACAGCAGCAATGACAGCAGCAATGACAGCACAGCAGCAGCAACGACAGCGATGACAGCAGCAATGACAGCAGGAATGACAGCTGCGCAATTACAGCAGCAGTGACAGTTGGACCAGTTGGGGATGGTTACGACAGCAGTAAGAGAGGAAGTCCTCCTTATCAGCTGGTCGCTTCGCTCTCGCTCGCCTTGTCCGGCGCCGCCGCGCGGCCGGCCACGGCTGCGCCCGGCCTCGTCTCCACGGTCTCAGACGGCCTCATGGCGCCTACTGACGCCGACGAGACGGAGCGCGTCGGATTCGTGCTGCAAAAACTTTCAATCTCGCCGACGCTTTATGAGGCACCGAATCGACCAGAGCCAGCAGCAGAGCACTCCTCGCCTGGCTCGGTCGGGTCAGCGCCCGACTGCGATCGACTGGCCTCCAGTTCGAACCCAGGTGGGCCTGCTGCCGGCCGCGATGGCTCGCCAGAGCTGCCGGGCTTGCCCAGCCTCGCTGGCGCCTTTGGCGAGGCTGGGGTGGCTGCTGGGCATGACGACATCGCAGCAATGACCTCCACGCTGCGGAACATCCGACTGGGGTTCGCACAGGAAGCCGCAGCGACCCGCGTTCAGCGGGCGATGCGCGCGTTCCTGCTGCGCAAGGGCACCATCATCATCACGATCCTCATCACCAAGATACAGGCCGCTGCGCGCGGCCTCAACACTCGCACTTCTCCGAACAACTTCTTCAAGGCCTGCCCGCCCAGCGGGCGCACCGCCGACCTCTTCCTCAGCCGCGTCTACGGTGGCCACGAGGGCGGGCGGCGGCGCGGCGGCGGCTACGTCGTCGATTTCATCTACTGTTTGCGCTCGACCCGTCTTCCTCTCTCTCTTCCGGAAGCGCTGGCCCGATTCCCTCTCGAATTATACAACCCTCACGACACAGTGCGCGACTGCCACGGAACCAACGGGTTCTGCAACCAACACGAGGTCAACGGAGAGCAGCTGAGCCTGCCTCCGCCCTCGTCCCCCTTCACCTCCGGTGAGTCGCCCTGCCCCAGTCGTCCAGAGCACGACCTCTGGCGAGCCAGCCCGCGGTCACTTGATGACCCCCCCAAGAGCACCAAGAAGAAGGCAAGAAAGAACAAGAAAGCCCGCGACGCCAAAGCTGCGGCTGTGGCCGCTGCAGCGGCCGCAGAGGCGGCGGCGCGGAAGGCTGCAGCCGAGGAGGCTGCTGCAAAGGCGGCTGCTCAGGCGGCCGCTCAGGCCGCTCAGGCGGCCGCTCTCGGACGGTACAGGTTGGTCAACGCTTGGTTCTATCCACGCGGCGACTGGTACACCTTCTACTGGGATGGCAGCTCGGCCGACAAGGTCGCAAGGCGCGCTACCTACCCGACGCTCGAGCACGACGACCACGACCCCGGCCCCCTCGCAGAGCGCATCAGGCGCGACAAGCGCGAAGCGTCCCACCGCTCCTCCGACGACTCCTCCTCCGACCGCGACTCGTGCGGCACCGGCTCCACTAGCGAGGCGAATGACATATTCGACACCCTCGAAGACCATCTCGGCTACGGTTCCGACTCCGGCTCCGGCTGGTAGTCGACAAGCTGCCGAGCGCAAATCACTCTGTGTGACACATTTCTTGTTGGCTTCTAAAAATCTCTCTCTCTCTCAGCAGTAACGACAGCAGCAACGACAGCAGCAACGACAGCTGGTGACAGCTGGTGACAGCTGGTGACAGCTGGTGACAGCTGGTGACAGGTAGGTGTCACTGTCGCTGTCGTTTGCTGTATGACAGCTGGCAGCTGTCATGACAGCGGCTAACCGTCGTGACAGTGGCTAACCGTCATGAAGTGAACTTTCCATAGTCTCTAAGGGTAGAATTTTTTGCTTTCCTTCTCCGCAGTCCACCCTCGGGTAAGTTCAATTCGCTCACTGAAAAAGAAAGAGAGAGAAAAAGAAAGAGAGGCAGCTCTCTCTCTGAAAAAGAAACCGGGCTGGCGCACAGCTCGCTCCGCTCTCGAGATGCTGCTGCGACTGGGCTCGATGCTCGCCCGGCGCGGCCTGCACGCGGCGTCGGCCCGTTTCGCCGCGGCGCCGGCGCTGCGCCTCGGCCGCTCGCGCGCCCTCTCGACCGCGCCGGTTGACGACGAGATGGAGGACGACATCGACGTCGATGGCGTCGCGTACGGCTTCATGGCTTCGCAGGCGCTCTTCGCCGGCCTGGAGCTCGGCATCTTCGACGCCATCGCCGCGGCAGGAGGATCGGTCGACCTGCCCTCGCTGCAGCGCTCGAGCGGCGTCACCGCGCCCCGCCTCCAGACGCTGCTCACCGCGCTCGTTGCGTCAAAGGCGCTCCGCCGGTCGCGCGACGGGGCATACGACCTGTCGCCGAACGCGGCGCGTTTCCTGGTGAGCAGCTCGCGCCACTTCTACGGCGACTACCTCAAGCTGCAGATCGGGCGCCAGTTCTACCACCGGATGGGCGCGCTGACTGACGTCATGAAGACGGGAGAGGCGCCGTCGTACGCGTCGTGGTTCAGCGACCCGGAGGTGGCGGCGACGTACACGCGCGCGCAGCACAACGGCTCCGTCGCGACCGCAAAGGCGCTGCTCAAGCGGATGGCCGGCTCCGTCTCGCTCGACGGAGCCTCAAAGATGCTCGACGTCGGCGGCGGGTCTGGCGCCTTCTCGTACGTCTTCACGGGCGAGATGCAGCCGAGATGCAGCCGAGATGCAGCCGAGAGGCAGCCGAGAGGCAGCCGAGAGGCAGCCGAGAGGCAGCCGAGAGGCAGCCGAGAGACGACCGAGAGGCAGCCGAGATGCAGCCGAGAGACCGCCGAGAGACCGCCGAGATGCAGCCGAGATGCAGCCGAGAGGCAGCCGAGAGACGGCACCGGCGCGTTCATGCACGTCTGTTCACGGGCGATGGTCCGCAGCGGCCCTCCTCGCTGACCTGGCTGAGGACCTCGCTGAGGACCTGGCTGAGGCGAGGCGGAGAGGCGGTGAGGCGGTGAGGCGGTGAGGCGGTGTGTGTGAGTGGTTTGGATAGGCAAGCACCCGCAGCTGTCGTCGCAGATCCTCGAGCTGCCCGAGGTCTGCGCGACGGGAAACACGATCCGCGCGGAGCAGCCTGCAGACGTGCACGCAGCCCCCGACCCTCCCTTCGCTTCTCCGACCTCTTCTCTCACCTCCTCCCGGCGGCCCCCTCCCCGCCCGTCCGCAGGTGCAGCAGCGAGTCTCTTTCTCTGAGCTCGACGCAACGTCCCCCGACTGGCCCGTGCCGGACGGGGAGTACGACTTGGTCGAGACCCCGCCGAGATCGCGCCGAGATCGCGCCGAGATCGCGCCGAGATCGCGCCGAGATCGCGCCGAGATCGCGCCGAGATCGCGCCGAGATCGCGCCGAGATCGCGCCGAGATCGCGCCGAGATCGCGCCGAGATCGCGCCGAGATAGGGCCCGTGCCGGACGGGGAGAGCGATTTGCCCTCCTGGCTCACGCCCCGCGTGGCCGTGTGCGATTCACCCCTAACCCAAACTACCGGACGCAGGTCCTCATGTCTTACATCTCGGGGTCGGTGCCGGAGCCCGTCGTCGGCGCGCTCTACGCAAACGCGTACAAGGCGCGCCAGAGCTCAGGCTCGGGCTGGTGGTGGTGGTGTGTCGGCTGGTGGCTGAGCCGCGCCTCGTTCCGTCACGCAGGCGCTCAAGCCGGGCGGGCGGCTGCTGGTGCTCGAGATCCAGCCGAGATCCAGCCGAGATCTAGCCGAGATCCAGCCGAGATCTAGCCGAGACCCAGCTGAGATCTAGCCGAGATCTAGCTGAGATCTAGCCGGGCGGGCGGCTGCTGGTGCTCGAGACTTGACGGGGGAGGGGGGAGCTCGCTCGGTGTAGCGGTTTGGAGTGGCCTCCGTCCCTTCGACTCAGGTGCACGACTTCATGGTGGACGACTGTTAACTAATCATGAACTAATCATGAGCTAATGACTCAGGTGCACGACTTCATGGTGGACGACTCGCTCGACGGGCCGCTCGGCGGCGCCATCTGGGCGCTGCAGCACGTGACTGTCAACGCGGACGGTCTCGGCCTGGCGCCGCGCGAGGTCATCTCTCGGATGCAGGCGGCGGGCTTTGCGAGCGGCAAGGCGGAGAGCTAGCCGAGATCTGGCCGAGATTCAGCGGAGGTGTGGCCGAGGCGCGGCCGAGGTGCGGCCGAGGTGCGGCGAGAGAGGGAGCTGATGAGCGGGGTTT